CACCACCTACTCCAAAAGAAAGACATTATTATGCCAGCATCTCCTCTGTGGCCCTCCTTGACCCAATCCTCTCCCTATACCTCTCAAGAGGCAATTGTCACCATGAATTTTTTTAAAAAACAAATTTTACCACATTTATATTCTTTCTTGTGGTACTGAGATTTGAACTCAGGGCATTGCTCTTCCAAGGCAGGTGCTCTACCACTTGAGCCACATCTCCAGTCCATTTCGCTCTGGTTTTTTTTTTTTTTTTTTGAGATAGGGTCTCATTTTTTGCCTAGACCATGTTCCTCCTATTTTATGCTTCCTGCCATTCCTGGGATGACAGGTGTGCACCACCACACCCAGTTTTTTTTCCATTGAGATCCAGTCTCACAAACTTTGTTTTTCTTGGGCTGTCTGGAATCCTGGCCCCCCCAGTATCAGGCTTCCATATAGCCAGGGATAAAAGGTGCCCAGCTCAGATTTATATTCTCATTTATTTATTCATTCATTCATTGGTGGTACTGGGGTTTGAACTCGAGTCCTCATGCTTGCTAGGCAGGCACTCTACCACTTGAACCACTCCACTACCTGACATTTGTATTCTTAAAAACACATTGTTTAGCTTTGCACATCTGAAAACTCAAAATAAATGGAATCGTACTGCTGACATTCTTCTACAATTTGTTTTATCTACTCAACAGTATGCTTTTGAGATCCAGCTCTATGCTTGTGGGCAGCTGCAACCCATTCTTTTCCACTACTGTATAGTTCGACTGGATTTTCATGAGTTCCCATGATTCTCAGGATAGTCCATACCCACTATAGTTTTGTCACTAATTTTCACCCAGCAGGAAACCATCTTTCTGAAAACTTTAAAATCAAGAAAGAAACAAGCTGGGCATGGTGGCATAAGTCTGTAATCTCAGCACTTGGGAGGTAGAGGGAGGAGGATCATGACTTTGAGGCCAATCTGAGCTCCATAGTGAGGCCCTGTCTCAACAAAACAAAAACACAAGAAACATTTGCTTCTCCTTACACCTATAAACTTATTCATACAAGTCTGAAAATCTGAAATGCTCCAAAATCTAAAGCTTTTTGAGCATCATGTCAATGCTCAAAAAGTTTCAGATTTTCAGATCTTTGGATCAGAGATACTCACTCGGTAGTCTATTCAAACATCCCCAAATCCAAACAACTCCAATGTGAAACACTTCTGGTCCCAAGCAACTCGAATGGACTGACACACACATACTGAGCACCTGCTGTGCAACAAGAAGTCAAGACAGTCCTCACCCTCAAGGCAGTCTAATAGGAGACCAGGAGACTGCTAGGTAAATATAAAATGCTGACATAATGCAGTGAAGCCCAGATCATGGCCTACTCATTTCCTGCAGGGCTCTGCATAAATGTCACCTCCCCAGAAAAGTCTTTCCTGACCACCTCATCTAGCTACTCCCCTCCACTACCCACTGTCATCTGACTCAGTTTATTTTTCTTCACAGCATTTATTACTACCGGATATTATATTGTCATGTAAGTTCGATGAAGACAGGACCTTTTGCCACATTCATCACTGAATCTTCAGCCCTTAAAACAGTGCTAGGTATAGAGCAGGCACTCTGTAGGTATTTGTGGGAGGAATGAATAATAGAGGTATGCATGTGATTCTATGTGAGCACAGAGAATTCAGTTTGAGTGGTTCTGGAGAGGGTGACAACTAAACTGAGTCCTGAGTTGGGTGGCCATTTTAAAGCCTGTACCATACTCCACTGAGGACATGGCTCCTTTCCACCTCTCTTGAGGTTTCCTAAAATAGACACTCTTCTCACTCACTTTGGGATTCTCTGAGGCATTTAGTACAGGAACTTGTACTTATTTATCTTGTAAATACTTAAAGTACCTACTATGTGCCTATTACTGCTTTAGACAGAGTAGAAAAAAATTTTTCTCTAAATTGAACTGCATAAAATCTAGGGTTTTACTCAAGTCTTTGGACAGAGAAAGTGTTTATAAAACTCAGATATTTTTGTTTTTATTTATTTTGCAGTACTGGGGTTTGAACTCAGGACCTCATACTTGCTAGGCAGGCCTCTACCACCTGAGACACTCAGCCAGCCCAGATGATGTGTTTTTTAATTATTTTATTTTTATTTTTTGGTGGTTCTAGAGTTTGAACTCAGGGCCTCATGATTGCTATGTAGGACCCACACTTGAGCCACACTCCCAGCCCTTCATGCTTTTTACTTATTTTTCAGGTAGGGTCTTATGATTTTTGCTTGAGATGTAGCCTTGGACAGTTACCCTCCTACTTACCCTTGCCATGTAACTGGGATTACAGTATGTACCACCATGACTGGCTTGTTTGTTGAGATAGGGTCTCACTAGCTTTTTGCCAGGGCTGGCTTCAAACCATAATCCTCTCAATCTCTGCCTCCCAAGTAGTTGGGATTATATACATGAGCCTCAAACACCAGGTTAATTAATTTTTTAAATATAAAATGGTTCTAGAAATACAATCCTCTTCAAGTTTTTCAACTTTAAAAAAATAGCACAGGAAGGTGCTATTATGACTTCCGGTGCGGTCATGGTGAATGCTGTTGGCCTGGCAAATGAAGCCCCAGAGATTCCAGACAACATGGGAGACTGCCTCCAGGACATCTACTACTTTGCCACTGATAACAATGATTCCAGAGAAACTTCATCCTCAATTTGGAACTCTTTGCTATTGGAGTTTGGCTGACCAGGAACCTGAGTGACATTGATCAAATGCACTTCAGCCAGGGGTATAGCTAAGTAGACAAATGGAATTCCTGTACTATACCCACACCTTCCAAATACAGAGCCTACAATCTGTGACCACCACGAGATAATGCCCAGATGGCAGCTGAAGTTTCTCTTGCTCTATCTTCTTTCTCTGGTTAGCAGTCAGCTTTAGTGAAAGTGTTGCCTTTGTTCTATAAAGTTCTATATATAGTTTCCAAGTTTCTGCAGAGGGTAATCTTTGCTCATGTCTTAAGGAGTAATAATGGTGCTTTAAAAAAAATATTGGAAATGAAGACTACACACAAAGATAACAAAAAACATAATAAATTTAAAGAGGCTGCACCACCACAACCAAAGACAAGCAATACTAGCATGGAAAGGATGCAATGAACTAAAAAATAAATGAGTAAAAATTTAAAAATGCTACTGATTCAGTGATGCACTATGGAAGGATATTTGCTATGGGAAACAGCCCCATCAATAGAAGGTATCAAAACCACAGTGGTCTATCAAAACTATAGTGATCTCTGAAAAAAATAATAATAGTGAAAATTGTTAGAAATCAACACTTTAGAAATAAGAGGTGCTGGGTGCCAGTAGCCCAGGCCTAGAATCCTAGCTACTTGGGAGGCTGAGATCAAGGGGATCACAGTTCAAAGCCAGCTGGGGCAAATAGTCTGTGAGACCCCCATCTCCAAATTAGCCAGAGCAAAATGGACTGGCGGTGTGGCTCAGGTGGTAGAGCAGGAGCTTTGCAAGTGCAAAGCCCTGAGCTCAAAATCCAGCCCCTCCAAAAAATAAAGATGAGCTGATGTTACCTTGAGGTATTTTTAAACAAATTCCCAAGAGTATTCATTAAATTTGTATTTTATCCTATGTTCTCTAAACCAAACTGAAGCACTAAACTTCTATAATTCTCTGCATATAAAAAGCTCCCTGTGAGGGCTGGGGATGTGGCTCAGTGGTAGAGCACTTGTCTCTCATGCATGAAGCCACAGGTTCAATCTCCAGCACTGCCAAAACTTCCCTGTGAGCTGGAAGTGGTGACACACTCCTGCTATCCCAGTACTTGGGAGGCTGAAAGCAGAAGGACTGAGAGTTCAGGGTCAGTCTGCTCTACACAGCAAAAGCCTGTCTCAAAAAATACTTTTCTATTTTCCAAATTAAATCTTACTTCCTTCTCTTTTTAGTACTGCTATGGATGTTTCCACTGTACTGCTGGATTGAACTATTTATTGAGTCATTCTTGTCAGTTATTGTGAATTACTATTTTGATGACCTAAGACAATGGTCACAAGGAGTTACTGTCAATTTGTTTTTTAGTTATATTTTCATTGTTGAGTTTAACAAATTCTTAACAAAAACTTTTGTTTTGTTTAAAAACCAAAAGGGCTGGAGGCATGGCTCATGTGGCAGAGTGCCTGCCTAGCAAGTACAAGGCCCTGAGTTCAAACTCCAGTACTGCCCAACCCCCCAAAAAAAAGTCACAACATATTTTTATCATGTCTTGACCTTTTAGCTAAGATCAAATATAAACAAAGAAACAAACAAACCCAATGTATTTTTACTGGGTGTGGTGGCTCAAGCCTATAATCCTAGCTACTTGGGAATGGGAGATTGGAAGGATCATGGTTTGAGGCCAGTCATGGCAAAAAATTCTGAACATAGTGGCACATACCTGTCATCCTAGTCAAATAGGAAACATAAATAGGAAGACTGAGGTGCAAGCCAGCCCACAGCAAAATGGGCTGTGGGTGTGGAGCAAGTGGTAGAGCACCTGCTTGGCAAGTGCAAGGCCCTGAGTTCAAACCCCAGTACCATAAAAATAACTTATTTTTAATCACAGCTGACAAATTATTGTCTGTTTAAGACATAGACATTGAGATGGCAGAGGTGGGGGAGGATGAGGAGAACAGATGCTCAAGCACATTGAAATCTCTTCAATCCAGATGTAATCAAATGAGAAAGAGGAATGCCAGAAAAGCAGAATGAAATTCAAAGCCTAAAGGCAAAATGCTAAATGTATCATTTTGGCAAATAAGAGTCCTGTATTTACCAGGCAACAAACCTCTTACGGCCCATCATCTTTCCAGAAGATACACAGAGTTGAGAAAGATACCTTAAAGGTCAGTATTTCTCCCGCTCACCCCTTCTGCTTGGTCATGCCTAATGGGGGAAGCAAAAGCCCGGAAAATGGAAGGTGTCAAGCCCCACTAACTGTCAAGACTGGCAAAGGGAAGAGAAACACTTACTTGGATATCACAGGAGAAGACGACCTTTTAGAAATGCCTCCAGAAAATTCACATCTTCTCAGTGGGGACCCAAGGGCCCCAGTGGGAAGAGAAGCTGTTGCTCGCTGCCCCCTCTTCACCTTGTCCATCTGTAGCAGACACAGAGTAAGACTGGTATTACTTCGAAGTGATATACAGCTTTAAGAGGGATAAATATAAAGCTATAATGCTTCATGTGACAGGAATCTTTGCAGAGAGGCACCATGAGGTCATCACAGTTAGGTCATACAATAGAAACATTAACAGTTTTCAGCCTCAACATACAGATTCCCCTCCCCCTTGTTATCTTACCAACAGCTAACAACAGAAACATATTATGGTCCTAGATATACAGGAGCTGGAAAGAGTACAAAAACATACACTTACTATCAAACTTACAGGTAATTAAGAATATGGTTATGACATTTAAGACAGTGAGCTATAGACTCTAATGCCATACAAAGTGTAATGGGGACTGCAACCCATCCATTCTCCTGTATCTTTTTCTTTACCTCTCTGGGTAGAAAGCAGAGGAAATGGACACCAGTTCCTGGCCTACAGAAAGGGTTCCACAAGGATTAGTTTCCTCTTCTCCTTAGAGCATTCTTCTATAGCAATTCTTCACTTGGCCCCCACATTCACAAATATCAGCCTCCTTTCCACAATAATCCATCCTATAGCAAAATCTAAGAGTCAGAAACATTCGCTTCTTTCTTTTAAAGAATCTCAGGGCCACAGTGAATTTGATCAGAAAATATGGTATTATAAAATACCTAACAGGACTGGGATATCATGTAAGTTCTATGGTAGAATACTTGACCAGCATGTGTAAGGTCCTAGGTCTGATCCCTAGCAGCACTAAAATATTTAAAAAAAAAATACAAACTACACAAATAAATAAATTAAATTAAAAATATAATAGACTGGAGGTGTAGTTCAAGGGGTAGAGCGCCTGCTTTTTAAGCATGAAACCCTGAGTTCAAACCCCAGTCACACTAAAAAAAATAAGTAAAATAAAAATAAAATAGTGCAGTAATGTGGTACTTTTAGCATAAATCCACATTTGACACTCCCACCTTCAACAGGTGGAGCTTAAATCTCCTCCTCACGATTGTGGACTGATCTTAACTTGCTTTTAATGAAGAGCATATGGTAGAAGTGACAATTTGGCATTAAAAGGGCTCTCTTGTACTCTCTTTCTTGGATCACTTGCTCTGGGAGAAGCCAGCTGCCAAGTCATTTGGATATTCAAGAGGACCAGTCAAGATTTCAGATGATGCACTCCTAGCCAAAGTCTTGACTACACCCTCATGAAAGATCCTGTACTAGCAACACCCAGCTCTCAATTGAGTAACTGACAACTTCTGACCTGAAGAGCCCATGGGATAAGAAATATTTATTGTTTTAAGCTGTCAAGGTTTGGGGTACTTTGTTATGTAGTAAATGATAATGTAAGTAAATCATATTTAATTTCTAAATAAAACATACCAAATTGGAGGCAACTGCTTTACATTTATTTTACTGATGGTGTCAGTATGAAAGCAAAAGTATTTAAAGGCTACAGTTATGGGTGAACACTGACCTAGAATCTCAGTTCTAGTTACTATACAGGCAAGACTGACCCAGAACTAGATATCCTTAAAGAAGCGGAGAAGAAACTTGCAACACTCCTTCAGACTCTTATCCTTTGAAGAGCGGGCCATAACAGCAACATCTTTGGAAATAAGCCACAAGCACTAAGATTCAGGAAGGTGAAAAAAATTAAATAATTTTAAAAGGTTGGATAAAATTTTAAACAAAATCCATCTCTGGAGCAGCCCCTGGAAAGTGACGGGAACAGAGACCTCAGGTAAGGGCAGGAAGCAGTCATACTACCAGATAAACCATAGTGTGAAGGGGTGAGTGAGTGGGTTTAAACTTACCAGACAGGTCTCAGCTCCTGTCAGGGCTCCCTTCCCAGCATCTCCTACACCAGATGCAGATGTAGATGTAATCTTCTTCTTTTCAGTGGTTCGGGTAGGAGAAGACTTGTATGAAGATTTAAGAGGGCTAGCAGGAGCTACACGAGGGCAAACATGAAATACTAGAAAGTTACAGTACAATAGTCAGAAAAAGACAGGGAGTGCAGATGGAAAAAGAAGGGAGAGAAGAAGTTGAGAAGAACATTTTTACTATAATGTAACATAGGTAATCCACATTTTTGAAATACTATTCTTTTTCTATTGTACACAGAATGAATCCCATCTTAGAAAGGCTCCTAGACTCAAGTCAAGTTCATTTCAGAGGTTAATAGTCTGCACTTTGAAGCCAGACAGACTTTGCATTGCCATCTAATAGCTGGATCACCTTGGGTAAGTTACTTAACTTCTCTAAACCTCAATTTCCTTATGCAAAAAGAGTTAACACAGAAGAACTGACTGATGTCCTTGGAAAGGCCTGACGAAACATTGGTCCTTGGCTGGTATCTAGGAATCTGGATTTCAGTAAAGTTAGGTGAGTCCTAAACTGCTCATACAAATAATACATTCTGGGTTTCTGGAATTTGGGTGTGTGCTTGGGCAGTGGTGGAGTGGGGGAAGGGGAATACCCACACAACCAGTTCTTAATAAAAATCTTGAGCACCAGGTCTCTAGAGAGCTTCCTCAGTTGGAAACATTTCACATGTATTGTCATAACTGATTGCTGGGAAGATCAAGCACATCTTGTGTAACTCTACTAGGTGAGGACCCTAAATTTCTCCCCATGCACCTTTCCTTTGCTAATTTTGCTGTGTATCCTTCTACTGGAATAACTCATAACCATGAGTTATGAGTCCTCTTTTTAAAAAAATTTAACATTTTTATTAGTATATAATAGGTGTACAAGGGGTTTTGTTTTAACATCTCCATATATATGTACAATGTCTCTGAGTTTTCCTGGTGCATCACCAAACCTTGGAGTATTCTCAGAGAACCTAGACATAATTAGCATCAGAAATGGGAATTGGCCAGGTGTGGAGGCTCAGGTCTGTAATCCTAGCTATCTAGGAGGCTGAGATCAAGAGGATCATGGTTTGAGGCCAGCCTGGGTGAACAGTTTGCAAGATCCCATCTCCAAAATAACCAGAGCAAAATGGACTTAGAGGTGTGGCGCAAGCAGCAGAGCACCTGGAAAAAAAGGAAACGGGAATTGCTGGAATGACCCTGGTTCACTGAAATGTGGGAAAAGGCAAGATAAAGGAGTGAAGGATGATGAACTTGTGGCATCTGGCTGGCTAAGGAGTCATCCATGGTATGAAACAGCAGCCAAGCCGTGGCATATTGTGAGAATTTGAAGGTGATCATTCCAACTCCTAAGAGAGTTGACTTTTGCTCATGCTATCTAAAGTGAGGTAAAAAGTGAAACCCAGGTGATGCCTTTGATTTTAGTTTTCTCCTTCAAGTACAGGTGGAAAACAATTTTCCTGTTGTTTTGTTTTATTTTTGTCATCAGTGGGTAGGCTGGAACTTAACTTATGAGTACTGGAACCAGGACAAGTCCATATAACTAATGAATTTTTTTGCTATAGTTTTTGTCTAATGGATCCTCTAGAAAAAGGGAGCCATTAAAAGAGAGGCAGTTACAGATAGAGAAACACTGAGGAGTGTTAAACACTGATTAGGGACTGGTACAAATATAGACCATCCCTTCATGGGGCTCTAAGCTGTGAAAACATCCTGAATACTGCTGTACCATCTGGGTCACATACAAGTGTCCACAAGACAGAGTTTGTTTTCTGATGGGACCATCCAAAAATTAAACTGCTGCTTGGCTCTGTATGTTTGATGCACAGCCTAGGTACATTCCTAACCCATGACACTGCAAAAGCTGTAGGTTGGAAAAGGTTCACAATGTGATCCCTTCATCCATGACAAATCAAACTTCATTCCCTTTAGGAGAAGTGTCACTGATGTTTTCTTGTGTCTGATTTTCTAAAGTATCTGCAGTTTATAACAATGGACTGAGAGCCTGAGTCTACTTCCCTCACTTATCTCCTACTATACATACCTCAGTAAAACAATTTGTTAAATGTAGCTGTTTCAAGAAAGGGATCAGCCTTTTTTAGACTGCTCTCTGGGTAAATGACCAGGACAAAAAAGATGGGAGGGGATATAAATCTATCTTGAATTCTTTCTGAAAAATTAGGATTTTGTCCTGATTAATAACATAAACATGATGTATTTTTTTCTGATTAGGTTAAATAAAATGTCCTTTTTGTAAAAATGCTTCTGTCCTTTCTTTGAAATATTTGAGTGGATAATTAAGAAAACTTAAAAGTTTTGATTGCTGAATGGAACATGATGTAAAATAACAAAACCCAGCATCTAGGTGGCATAGTGGACATTTTCACAAAGACATTTGTGATCTTTATTTTCCACACTGCTCTTGGAAGCTCATCTCTTCCAGAAGGAAACTCCCCATACTGCCTTTGCAAGATGCTGTGAGCACCAACTGCTGAGTCTAAGTGGCATGTGACAATGCAATTCTGACAGAGCGGGGTGGCCCAGCACTTGCATGGTCCCTGCAAAACACCCCAGATGCCATCCACACTCACCAGGATGAACCAGTGATACTGACAGAACAGTTTAGGACTAACAGCTTCAGGCAGGCCCACTGGAACCACAGACTGAACTGAATTACTCCCACCCATCTGAGCACCATTGGGCAAAAGGCACCATGGTAGGAGGCCATATTGGGGGCCACCTGACCAATGCATGTCCTATTCTGAATACCCTACCAGCTGCAGCTCCTTGTCTCGAGGGGACCATATAAGCCTTTGGGTAATGTACTTCTTGTGACTATCACATCAATGACTAGGTCCTGGAAGTTGTTCAGGTCAGCCTTAACTACTGGGCAGAACTGTTCTGGGACCAGGAGAAGAAAATTCATAAGGAACTAATGAAAGAAGCCAGTTGGCTGCTTAGACAGACCTTCATGGTTAATGGGATGGGATATGCTTTCACTGCTAAGTCCAGGACTCAAAAAGGGCATAAATGAGATCAATACCACATGGTGGTCTCATTCTGCTGTGTGGTCCTACTGGGACAGTGGGGTGGACTATGCAAAAAAAGAATGAACACAGCAGACCTGACCATCTGGGAACTTAGACTTTGCCAAGGTTCCCACCTTTAACTGATAGGTGCTTCATTGTACCTAAACTGTTTGTAAAAACAGCATGGTATATGCTGAACACCTGCTTTCATCCTGGGAACGTGAAATGTTGGTGTGTGCTGGGCAAGGGGTGCATATGATCAATACCCAGTAAAAACCCTAAGCACAGAGTCTCTAACAAGCTTCCCTTTTATGGCAACTTTCCATAGGTGCCATCAGGGCTCACTTCTGGGGGAAATACATCCCGAGGAACTCCACTGGAGAGTAATCTAGAAGCTTGTGCCTGGTCTTTCCCTGGACTTTGTCCCATGTGGCTTTTCCTTTTGCTGATTTTATTGTGTATCCTTTTACCATAATAAATAGAGATGTACATGCCTACATAAAGAGTCCTCCTAACAAATCACTGATCTCAGGGTTAGTTAGAGGGACCCACGAAACAATCCTTATTCTCAAAGTGGGGAAACTTCTTACTTGTTAAGGTTTTTTTCTTTTTTGGTGGGATTGAGGTTTGAACTCAGAGCTTTGCATTTGCAAAGTGGGCACTCTACCATCTTGAACAACACCTCCAGTTCATTTTGTTCTGCTGGTTTTTTGGAGATGGAGTCTCCCAAACTATTTTCTCAGGATGGCCTCGAACCGTGATTCTCCCCATCTCAGCATTCCAACTAGCTAGGATTATAGGCATGAGCCACCGGTGCTGGACTAGGTTTTTTTTTTCTTGTTTGAGATAGAATTAATATACCATAAAATCCCCCTCTGAAAGTGTCCAACTTAGTGGTTTTTATTATATTTATAAGTTGGGGCAATCATAACCACAGTCTAATTTGAAAACATCTTCAGGACTCCCCAAAGTAACCCTTTATCCATTAAGCAGTCACTTTCCTTTCTTCCCTCCCTTACTCCCTGATAACTATTAATCTACTTTCTATCCATATGGATTTTCCTATTTCAGACATTTCACATAAGCTGAAACAATGTTATTTTGGCCTTTTGTGACTGCCTTGTTTTACTTTGAATGTTTTCAAAGTTCATCCATCTTGTAGCATCTATCGCTATTCCATTTCTTTTTATAGCTAAATAATATTCTACTTTACAGATATACCACATTTTGTTTATCGACTTACCAGTTGATGGACATCTGAGTTGTGTTCATTTTGTAGCTACTGTGAATAATGATGCTAACAATATTTGTGTACAAGTTTCTGTATGTTTTTAATTTCCTTGCCTCTATACCAAGAGTGAAATTGCTGAGTCATATGGGAATGCTATACTTAAAGAGGTTTTATGTCATTCATATGTTATTTCACTGAATATACTCTATATTTTGGAAATGGAGACCAGACATGACTTATATGGACATGACATTGCTCACCTGAAAACAAAGAATGCCAGCACTCATTAATCTTGATATGATGATCTGATAAAGGACAGGCTCTGGTGGCCTGTTTGAGCATTTGTCAGTCTAATGTGCAGGACTGGGAGGTTCAGAGAGTTGGCCTTCTTACAAAGCTCTCAGGTGATGCTACCATTTCTGGTCCATGGACCACATTTTGAGAAGTAAGGCTCTGGACATTTGGTAAGCTCATTCCATGCCAATCACTGTGCTATCTTATTTATACCATTATCTCATTTAATTCTCATGACAATTTAATATTAATTTTTTTTTGAGATTCGGGTCTCACTATGTGCCCTTGAACTTGCAATCCTCCTGCCTCAGCCTCCTGCATAGCTGAGATGGCAGCCATGTGCTAGTACACTCACCTCTCATGACAATTTTATAGATAAGCAAACTGAGGCTTAGAAAAGTTAATTAACTTACCCAAAATGGTAAGAGCTAGTAAGTGGTAGAGCTAGTTATGGGACTCCAGAGACTGTGGTCTACAGGCTACCTTGCCAAACCATCTCCTAAGAAAAGTCTACTAAATTCCATAGCTCATCGAGTACATTTTTTCCCTAATGCACATCCTCGATCATAAAATAATTAACTTACCTCTGTGACATTTAAAAGAAACAGCAACAGCAAAACACTGGTGGGTAGAAAATGTTATTAACCAATGAAAATATTTCACAAAGCCAGTAAATGGGAAGAAAAAATTTCAGAAATAAATTCAAGGCTGACCAACGCTGCCTTGAGCATTTTCCTTGGTGTCACCAGCTTGGCCTCTTTTACCTGAGTCACTGGCCTGCTCAGAAAGCATGAGTGCACTTCTGCTTCTGGCTAAAGAAGCCTGTGTGGGTGTCAACAGTCGCATAACAAGAAAGGTTTCCATGGGGCTAAGGTGAGTGCGATGAGCTGAGGGATGGAATCAAATGAAAATTGAAAAAGCAAAATTAAAATAAAACAAAAAATGTTTAAACAACACAGTGCATGAGGCAAATTAAATTTTGGATGGCAGAACAAATGTGGAAAATAAAAATAATTCCAACAAAGGATAGCTTTGGAGTTTGTCACAGGAAAATAAAACAAATGATGCATCAGAGTTTGGGAAAGTGCATTGCTTCTCTTGGGATGTCAGAGTTTATTTAATATACTATTACAGTATAGTGGTCTGTATCACTTGAAGAGATTTAGCCCATCTCCCAAGATGTTCATATGGACTCATTTACTCCCCAGGTAGACCTAACATTGAAAAACAGATTATGGCTACAAAACACTCATTTTAGGTCCTCTTTTAGGAAATATTTCATCACATATGATTTTTAAATGAAGTATATTATCCTATGAGAGTACAAAAACCGATCCATTCACACTTTTTCCATGTAAATAAGGCCAAAATTTAAATGAGAAGGCACAAAAATAGTAACAGCCAACTGATTATTAACTTTAACAGAAGACAATTGGACTCATAATCTAAAATTCAATGACCAAAATATTTTAATGCTTTTAGAACATGTTATACAACCACGGATACAAAGAATTACTTTGTATTTTTTGGATGTCTATTAACTAATAAGTGGTTTGGGGATTAAAAGTTTTTAATTTAGGACTGGAGGTATGGCTCAAGCGGTACAGTGCCTGCTTTACAAGCGGAAGACCCTTAGTTCAAACCTCAGTCCCACAAAAAATTTCATTTATAAACTATAAGCAGGTAATTCAGTTATCAATAACACATAATAACATATGCTTAATGTATGTTAATGCAAAAATGAATTTAACATCAATCTATAACCATGTGAATTACTGAAAATATACAGAATACACTCACTAATGAACAGCTATAGAGTTAACAGTGTGTAAGTATTTTCTCATCCAACTCTTACTTCCATGTCCCTGGGTCTTACCCATGAACAGCACCAGAAATCAGCAGCACTGTGACACTCACAGGAACACTGACACACACTCAAACACACACACATACACACACACCATGTCTCTGGGATGAAAGGGTGAGGTCAATGCCAGTGAACAACAACCAGATAGGCCCACAGGACTCTTCCAAGTCATACAACTCTTTTTGCTCACCCCTTGATGATGACTTGACATGTTCAATACTCCACTAGTAACTGATGCTCCTTCAGTGGTGCTCTAGGATATGCATATAATGCATAGAGAACTGAACACTCCCTTTCTTAGCCTACACACTGCAATGCATAAATTCAGGTTTTTAATGACTCATTTGAGTCTCTGTTAGAACACAGATACCCTATACATATCATCTCCCAACTCAAAACAATGCTGGAAAAGGCTCCTATCTTATTCTTCTTTTAGAGACTGTCTATTACTTTTGTGTTTCTGTTTTCATCTAGAAACTGGGCAGGCCTACAAACCATGGACAACTGCAGAGGCCCATTTTTTCACATATCAAGTCCCCCAGGTAATTCTGACTCATTAAGTCTGTTCTTTCTGGCTAATCAATTGTATCCTATGCCTGACTAGGTAGGTAATTTTAAAACTCCTCCATGCACTGTAGAAAGTGGAACAGTCTTGTAGAATATCAATTCCTGCCCCTATTCAACAATGATCTGATCCTAAGAAGCGATACCACTTTCCAAAGTCCTGTTAGCAAGGCCCTGGAGGTTAGGAACATGGCAGTATTTGCAAAAGGCTCAAGAGGCAGCTCTTACAAAGGCCAATGGTAAGATGCTCAAACCAGAAAAGCAAACTGGAGAGACCAAGTTTACACATTCACTTGCCTCGGTCTGGGGAACAGGATACTGCCACGGTAGATGAAGACAGGCGTTTACTCATGGGGGGCTCTGTCTGCTTTGGCAAATTCATGGTTGATGTTGAAAGTTTGTCACATGCTGCAGAGAAATGCATTAAAGACAATGATATTCAAACCACTGTAGACTGAGAAATACATATCCCACGGTGTTCTTCCTGTCCTCATCCATATACTTCTGCTTCCATTATATGGTATATCCTTATCCTAATCTGGAAATGCCCAGGCTACAGCAGCCATTGGTGTGCAATTTCTTCACCATGTTCCTTCAATTTCAAATGTTACTCACTCAAATGTTAAACTAAAGTCATGCTAACTCCATACATCATTTTCTTGGGTCCAGGGATTTTTATATACATTCATACCACAAAAAAACAAAACCAACCTGGACCCAAGGAAAAATCACTCCTGAAAACATTCTATGGTAACTGAGGCTGTGTATACTGAAATTGAAGGTAATCTGTGGCTCAAGGTGAACAAAGATGTAATTTGTAATGCAAGGAGCTGTATTTAACACAGAATGATCTTAAGGCAATTGGTTTTTTTCCTCTCATTAAGAGACGGGGTCACATGGCCCTTTCGTAAATGCTTTTAACAGCTGTGGTTAGGATTTTAACATGTGACTCTAAGTTTGGTATTCTCATATTGCAGTCATTATTTCAGACTAATTTCTAAATTAAATGATTATGGCCAGTAGAGAGGTGCTGACAGTACCCTGTTAAGCTATGCTGGAGCCTGAGGCCAAAATGAAAAATGTGTGCCCACTGCTGTAGAATGAGGAAACTCATCAGTAACATTTTCAAATCCAACTCCTCTCATCTTGTTTTCAAATGAAAGAATTGTCATGTCTGACAATTTCTGAACAATCTTAAATAGTTTTAGTTAAAGTCAAAGTATAAAACATTTGGATTGGGGATACATACAATATTTCAACTTCAATGATGTTTTGAGTTTTAACACTCCTACTTTTGAAGTACTTTAATTTTCTGGGAAAATAATCATTAGAAATGATATAAAACCACATATATAGGGATGCATATTTTCCCCATATGCCTCAGGCTCCAATATGGCTCAGCATAGAAATTTAGAAATTTAATATTTGGGCTAGGGATGTAGTTCAGTGGTAGAGTGCTTGCCTAGCCATGGGTAGGCCCTGGAGGGGGAGGGAGGAGGAAGGGAGGAAGGGAGGAAAGGAGGGGGAGGGAAGGAGAGATAAAAAGAAATAAAAAAGTTCAATGTTTTATTTATAATGGATTGTTTTGTATTGATTTTGATCTTTAAAAATACTGCATTGAAATATTATTTTTATCTTGATTACTAAGTTTTATGCTTCCTCCCTTGAACTGTGTGCCTAAGTCACTCACCTCACCCTGGACCTGGCCTTGCATACTAATTCTCAGTAGATGATTACTATACTTGTACTTCTCTGTGGGGAAAGGCCAGTACCTCAACTCATGCAGCAAAATCTGTGCTACCAAGCACCACCAATAAGGATGTTCTTTGTCAAAGGAATGCCAGAAACCAAGGATATTTATTCCTATTGGTAATATGACCTTCTGCATTGCTGATAAATATTGCATCCCCTTTATATATTGTTTTTTCTTTGCCAGTCAAAGATGGTTGAATTTCTAAAGTTATTAAATGGGAACAGTTTTGCTAGTTCTGTCCTTAATCTAGATCATAAGAGTTTGCCAGGTCTGTATCTAAAACAAAGAGCCTTTTAGAGAGAGATAAAAATCAAGCACAAAGCCAAGTTATTGAATTCTCTGGATTCCCAGCATTAGTAATGATAAACTCCTTGTCACTCCTCTTAAACACTTCTCCCAGAATCCATCACATTAATACCAAGCCCAAGTATCCCATTCTGGTTTTTCACTAGAAGCAACAGGAATGCCTCCCTACTTAATGCCTAAAATAGATGATTAATGAGACTGTCAAAGATCTAAATGTAAAAAAAAAAAGATTTTTAAGGCAAAAGTTAGTGAGCTGAGATGAAATGCCTCTAGGATACAAGTTATAAGACATGCACAGTTCCATGATGATAGAGGAACAAAGAAATATGGGCATGTCATTCACATCTTTAAAAAAGTTATAATAGGTCAGACTAAGAAATCAACTGTGAAAGTGCTTCACACACACACACACACACACACACACACACAGAGAGAGAGAGAGAGAGAGAGAGAAAGAGAGAGAGAGAGAGAGAGAGAGAGAGAGAGAGAGAGAGAGAGAGAGATGTAAGAGAGTGATCCGAACAATTATCACAAAATGCTATGGCATGGTGATGCTCGGATATACCATTGGTAGACTCCTCAGCGGTGGCAGTGGTCCCTGCATCCGGAGGGAGGGTGCTGGCTGCTAAACCTAGAGGAGGGGGTGGGGTATTTTCTGATTCACCTACACAGCAAAAAACCAGAGCAAAGAGAGGTAAAAGAAACAAGTCCCAATTTGTTGTTGTATTTTAGTTTCTATTTAGGGAAATAGAAAAGTAACAGACGAGTTGTTGACTTCTCAGAAAAAGAAAGGCTAAAGTATATTCACTGCCTAAAGGTTAAAAGCGTAATACAGCAAAATCAAGAAACAGTACTACAACATCTGCTCTCAGAATACTAGTACACAAGTCCTGCATAATAGAATGCCGAGATCACTGAAATGTAGTATGAAACTGAAGAGGGAAAGGTCACTCTGAGACTAGTAACAATCCATACACTAAAGTACACATATAAATTTTAAAGATGAGTATGAACTGGATAATGAAATAAGTCATCTTGAAACAAAATCAGAAGAGCAACAAAAATTCATAATGAGGAAGGAAAAAGCCTAGCCCTTTTTAGAGGGTAACTGCTGTGCCTTGCCCAGTCACATCTGGACCCACGACTGTGCCTCCTACATTTCCCTCCCCTAAAACCAGACTATTCCTGGACCTGTCTGCTAGATCTGGCTAACCAAGCTCTGCATTCATTTTTGTTTGCTCTCCCTCAAAGCCCAGTTATTACATCAACTGCTGCTTGCTAACAAGAATAATATACAGCTCTCCCTCATGAGAAATGTATACACAGGAAAGCTAGCAGTTTTAAACATCATACCTGAAAAGAGGGCCTTGTAAAGTTGTGCAGAGCATCCCCCAGATCCTGCAGACACCCATGATCTCCCACTGGGGCCCTGCAATGCGAGGACAGCTGTGCACTTACCATCACGTCCTCCAGGACCTGAGGCCATTGATCCTCCCCACGAACACTTCTTCTTTAGTTCCAGCTGCTGCGTGCGTTCCATGGACCGGCGCATCATTGCCTCCAGCCGCTCCTGCCCAGTTCAAAGCATCCAATATCAACAGAGAACTAGATCAATCACCCAGCCTCACTGCACTAGTTGAGTCACTAAATGGAGCTTTCTGTGCTCAGCATCCCAAACCCAGGCACATGTGCTTTCTCCACCATACCAGTGTGTTCTGGGTGGGTAGAGAGTAAACAATGCGGCTAGGCTAGCTCAGGCTCTCCAACTGAACACTGCGTCCTGTCCTGTCTCCTCCTCTTCCCTCCCATCCTGTCCCTAGGGAGAAGCTGCTGCTATGCCAGCCCTTGATTTGTTTAAGAATAGTGTCCAACAAGCATTAACTCTTTCAGGCCTGTTTCGAGCACCATTTTGCCCCACTTTATAAGAGAACTGAAATTTGGGTTCAGAACTAATCTTGCCATTTTTAATTGAAAGCACAAAACATTCAGATTTGAGAAACTTTAAATTAAAATATAATTTGAATTTTTGTAGCCTTAAATATAGCTTTTTGGGGTGATACATGACTTTGAGACCTACTTTACAAAGCCCTATTTTCACCTTAGAATTTCTTAAAGGAGAAACAATTGTTTTCTACATTGTAACATTCTTCTGCTAATAATATTCTAGGGATAATATTGCATAGTTTAAAATTTAAAAGACAAGAGTACAGAACCTTCTGGCCACAAAATAAAGCATCCATGCATTCTCAGAGTTAGGTAGGTTGGGGGGAGGGGGCACTAAATAATTTTTAACCAGAAAAGGAAAACCACCATCAGGCTTCTCTCCTGAGAGGATTTATCAAAAATGTTCTCTTGTATTAACCAAATTTTTACTTTCATAAAATTGTCCTTGACACTAAATCAAAGGCTTTCTAATTCTGCAACCTCCTCCACCTCAATGACACTGCAAATACTAGCTCCTCTCCCTGCCTCCACTGGAGCAAGGCTGGCCAGTACATAGAGGTAGCAGGGCTAATCTTATCTGACTCCAAAACACAAAGATAGTATTTTTCATGGCTTAATAAAAATGAGTAAGCAAAATTAATTCAAGACAGCAAAAACTGAGTAACCATGACTTAAACATCCTTATTTCACTTACTAGATACAGTTAAAGATCACTTAGGAGGTGTGTGACTTTATCCCTTTGTCTACACCAGAGGTATAAGATGAGCATTTGGCTTCCCTACATCTCAGCTTCTTCTGCGTAATTTTCTCTGAATGATACTTTGCTAAGAAACTTTTACCAAAAGTCTCTCCATGGACCTGTGAGAGGACAGGGGCCTATTTCTCTACCTCTTATAAGACTCAGGCTTGAATTGACAATTTATCATGCTCTAGTTTGGGACCAGGAACTCTACAATCATGAGTGTGTATTTCCTGGCTATCCCAACCTTATAAACCCTTGGCCTGAGTGATTAAATTATTTTTTCCCCTTGGCAGTATTAGGGTTTGAACTCAGGGCCTCACACTTGCTAGGGCAGGTGCTTTACCACTTGAACCACTCCACCAGCCCTGTGTTGTATTGAATATTTTCCAGATAGGGTCTCACGAACTATTTGCCCAGGCTGGTTTGGAGCATCCATCCTCCTGATCTCTGCCTCCTGAGTAGCTAGGACTACAGGCATAAGCCACAAGCATCTGGCTAAATTGATTTTCTTTTTCTAGAGGGACTGAGATTTGAGCTTAGGGCTTGCAAAGCAGGCACTACTGCTTGAGTCACACCTCCCCTGGGCCATTAAATCCTGATGACCAACACTGGTGATCTGCCAGACAAAAGTTAGCTTGGAGGGAACAGAAATTCACCATTTGATGCCGAGACTGGGGATGAGTGGTATTTCATTATATGGATTTAACATAAAGTAGAGAGAGAGAGAGAGAGAGGAGAGAGAGAGAGAGAGAGAGAGAGAGAGAGAGAGTGTGTGTGTGTGTGTGTGTGTGTGTGTGTGTGTGTGTGTGTGTCTGAGGGGGTGGGAGTAACTGTACCTTTTCCACTGCTTTTACTGTATGTGTTCAGGGATGACATTCCAGGGACAAGTCCTCAATGGTCATTATCAGGGATCCATAGGGGCCTTTCTCTCCACAGACATGGCCCAGAAGAGCAGGTGTTGAGCATTGCACCTTGCCAGCCAAGGTCCTCTGAGAGTGGCCGGCCTTCAGCTGAGTAAGTTTTCTGTTTAGGTGAGTTCAGAACTATCTTGTTTGACACCTAGCTTGGTGAGTATTTTTAGCTACCAAGAAGTGAGAATATAAGCAATTAGATGTGTTAAACTTATGTAAAGAGATGAAGGTACTCTTTGAAAGAGGCCTTTTCTGGTTTTATGTTTAGCACAAGAAATATAGAGTTGCTCCTTCTTCAAATCCTACTTTCCTGGGCCAACAGTCAGGAGAATGGGTGAACACACTGCATTGCCAGCACTAACTCAGTCAGGAGACAGGAACTTGTTCCAGAAGCTGAATTTTGTAGTTGTGTGGCAAGCAAATGTTGCTATAGGAACCCACATTAAAGAGAAGGTAGCCTCCAGTGAAAGAATGACTTCAAGGTAAGGTGCTCAGGTACACACTAAACCGAATCCTTGGTTCCCTAGGGCAGGCTTGAGTAACCTAACCGCTACCAATTCCTGAGACTCCTGGAAGCCAGGCTGTTGGTTCTGCCTTGCAGATGAAGGAGTGTCATGCCAGATGGTTGGTCCTGATACAGTTGACTCTTTAGTGGTTTCACTTCCAGATCATTTTGTAATTTGCTTCTGTCCTTTCTTATATACCTAATGTGGTGTGTGTGTGGGGGTATTGAGACATCATCTACTTCTGCCTTGGTACAGACATAAGGACTTTTTACTAAGAGCAACATCATGGCAACCATAGGAATATGAAGTGAGGGCAGGGCTGCATAGGGGAGAGGGGTAACAGGTCTCTTGTGATCTCCTAAATACTGGACCCAGACAGGTAGGACTTATTGGGCAACACACTTTCCAACAGGCTAAAGAAGAAAAATGGAGTTAAGCACTGGTGGCTCATGCCTATAATCCTAACTACTTGGGAGGCTAAGATTGGGAGGATTATGGTTCAAGGTCAGCCCAGGCAAATAGTTCACAAGATCCCATCTCCAAAATAACCACACCAAAATGGATTGGAGATGTGGCTCAAGTGGTAGAGCACCTGCTTTAAAAGCATGAAGCCCCGAGTTTGAACCCCAGTCCTACCAAAAAAGGCAGCAAAATGGCCTGCACAGGATGAGTAATCTTCCCATTGAGGTTTCTTCTTAGTTGACAAAGATACAGTGTGACCAAAAGAATTTAAATTCATCAAGAAGAAAAGCAAGTACTAAGCATGAAACAGTGTTCACAGAGCTCTCCAAGAATCATGGGGATGACTACAGAGGACTTCTTTTTGAGAGGGTCTTCCACAGTGCAGACTAATCCCACTTCCCTAAAGATCACCCACAAAAATAGTGAACAAAGTCATGTACTGGCAGTGCAGCAACACTGATGTGGTTAACTGGCCAGCCTGCATGTGGCAAGTCCTTATGCTACACCTAGGTCTCCTGGGAATCCTGGGGGTGGGAGCAGGTGGCAGAGGAAGGATTCTGCTTCCTTGGGTTGCTACATAACCTTGGGAAGCCCAGCTCTCAGTTCCGCCCTACCTCGCATTGCCCTGCCCTGCTGTGCCATACTGTGTCCAGGGAAAAGAGAAAAGCAAGCTCAACTTGTGTTTGTGCTGACAAGGGTCAGACTGCATCCTCCCTGCTCCCACCACATTAGGGGTGCAAAAATGCACAGAACCAAATAAAATTAACCAGAAATGAAACTACTAAAGATTCAGCTGTATTAGGGCCAACCATCTTGCATGATATTCCCTCATCTGTAAGGAGGAGTCATCTGACTACTTAATTTAATAAGCACCCAGCAATACCATTCTATAAAGGGAAATTATACATAGGAATTGCCTCCAAAGTGGACCCTTGTGACACTGTACGATGAGTGAGCATGACAAGCATTTAATGTGACACTTCCTAGTGCTCCTTCCTGCAAGCAGCAATGACAAGCTTTCTCTTGATTCAGCAATCCAGCAAAATGTCAGGAATCAAAATGGAGAGGCTAGAGAGGAAGGAGACAAGCTCTAAGTCATCAAGAATGGAGGAAGGAGCCGGGCACTGGTGGCTCACGTTGTAATCCTAGCTACTCAGGAGGCAGAGATCAAGAAGATCATGGTTCAAGGCTGGTCCAGGCAAATAGCTGGCAAGACCCTATCTCAAAAATACCCAACAAAAAAAAGGGCTGGCGGAGTGGCTCAAGTGGAAAAACACCTACCTAGCAAGTGTGAGGTCTTGAGTTCAAACTCTAGTACCACCAAAAATAATAGTAATAATAATAATAAAGGATGGGAAGGAAAAAACGAGAATCCAATGACTGGTGAGAAATATACAAGTTGAAAAAGGAGAAACCTGCCCTAAGTTACCAAAACAGCCTCTCATACTGTGGCTTTTTATGCGAACTGGCTTCTGCCAAGGTCAGCTGAACTAACTGGAGGGAATCTCACTTTTCCAAGTGATTATTCTTTTTTCCAAGTGATTATTCTGTGCTAGGTGCTTTGTTGGGCATTTTTGTAAAAGTCACCTTCTTTAATTCCTGTAACCATCTTTGGGGTTGAGGAGACAAAGTTAGAGGGGTTTTGTGACTTGCCCTTGGCTACCAGTTGCTTAGTGGTAAAGTTGAGATTTGAACTGAGAGCAGATAAAGTCACAGCAGTCAGACTGCAGTCATCAACAACAGCTAGGAGCCTTGCTTAGGCCATCATTTGCTAAAAAGAACAAAGAAATCACCATAAATGGATGCTTCATGGGTATAGATGGATCTCATTATATGTGCCTGTGTACATGTTCATATGTGTTTTTTTAATTAAAAAAGAGGAAGTGGTAAATATATACAGTGATAAACAAGCATTCAGGATTTTAAGAAATACTAAATTTATACAAAAGTCTTTGTATACTATAGTGGAGTTTAACAAACTGCTATATTG